TTTCATTTTTATTTTAAGTTTAACATAAATTTTATTTCGCCTACACATTATTTTTTGTATGCAATGTGAAAGCCATATTAAGACAAAAAGAAAACTGTATAATATTGTTCATGATTAAGTATAAATATAACTAAATTAACATTTTTGTCTGTGTTGAATTAATTTATTTTTAACAATTTCAAATTATCTCTAAATATTACTAGACGTTTATTGTAACATCAATCTTTTGATTATTATAGTCAATTCTTTGCGTTTAGCAAAAAAAAAACAAACAAATTTTTGTCAAAAATAATCGAAAACGAGCGCTGAAGTATGTTAGGTAGAAATTTGCACCCCCTATCGATCATGACAGACGGAATCGACAGATTATAACAGACATAACCATAGAAACAGTATGACTGTTGTAAACGCCTTAGCAACACTTTTTTCGTGCGTCACAGATTGCAACAAACATTATTGACATACGATCACAGATCGTAACAGATGCCTTTAAAAAATCTGCCCTCTCCAAGCAGACAAACATTTTCAAAAACGCGTTTAAACGCACAAAAAAGGGCTTAAAATCGATAAAAAGTGGCCGTGTTTGGCTTACAATCGCGGTTCTCGACTGTCAGCGAAAAACGACTATCTGTTGCCCTTTTTATGCGTTTAAACGCGTTTTCAGCAAAAACACGCTTGTAAACTCGTATAAACGCATAAAAAGAATATAAAAAGTAGCTATCTTTTTCCTTATCGTGAACTGTGATTGTAATTATGATTGTGATTTATGAGTATGAAAAATATGACAACTTTTTATGAGCGTCTTATGCGTTTACACGCGTTTATCACCATTTTTTTTGCTGAAAACACGTTTAAACGCACAAAAAGGGCAAAAAGTGGTCGTTTTTCGCTGAAAGTCGGGAACCGCGATTATGAGCCAAACACGTCCACTTTTTATCGATTTTAAGCCCTTTTTTTGTGCGCTTAAATGCGTTTTTGAAAATCTTTGTCTGCTTGGGTCCTTGCATCACAGACTAAGACAGGAAATTGTTAATATGTGATCAAAGACTGTATATCAAAAAGATCTCGTTATAATATATGAACTGCTATCTTATCATATTTGTGGATGATGAAGTAAAATCATGATCAAGAAATGTGTTGCAATATAGATAGAATAAAACAATCTAGAAATGATTAGTGACAGTAGTTAGATTGTAGCTTACATTTAAAATCTACTGGAATGTCACTAACAGTTTTTAGATAATAACAGGAAAATTAAGAGAAGAAAAACAGATTTTTACAATGGATTTTTCTTATTTTAGACAATTTTACATAAAGAACCTGGCTCTCATTACATTGTTGAAACTGAAGTATTCAATGAAGGTGTTAAATATAGTGATACATTTTCTCTAGCTATACGTTATTGTATTGTACAAACATCTGTAACAACAACTCATTTACGTGTTACTGCTCATGTTCGTTTTTGCAAATCGCCTATTGGTTTTATAAAACGTTCGTATTATGTTTTATTTTTTTTTTCTTTTATTATCTTATCTTTTTTCTATTGTTAAAATTTGTTTCTTTTGTAGAAATTATTGAACGTAATGCATATTCAGCATCACAAGAAAGCTTTAAGGATTTGAGTATGTCAAAAATTTCAAATGGTTCATTTTGAAATAAAATAATATTTAATTCTAGATAATCGTCTTCACCTTGTTAGTAATTTTAAGAAGGGTAAAAAGGAATCCCATAATTTATATTTTGAAATATTAAATCATTTTTATATTTATAAAGAGAGACGTCGGTCAAGTCGAGGCGAACTTACATTGCCTGTTCCATTACTAACAAATGCTGAGGCTCGTCGTATGAGTCGACATGATGCACTTGGTATAACACCATTAAATCAAACCATGAATTACGATGATAAAAGTATGTTGAATAAAAATAAAAATAAAAATAAATATATTTCATTTTTTATTTTATTTATTCTATTAGATCATTATGTATTATCAATATTTTCTAATCCAAATAAAACTATATATTTATTTATTTTTATGTATGAAAAATTTGTTTCTTTTTTTTTTCTTTTCAATTTAAAATTAAATTAATTTTTCTATATTTTTCAGAACTGCTTTTCTTTTATTAATTCATTTATATTTATATCTTAAACTTAAACATATGGATGTTCTTGTCGATAGTTTAACACACTTGATAAAACTGTAAGTTTCTTTGTTGAAATTTAATTATAATTTTCATTATATTAAATAGATCATCTTCATCGTCAGCAAAACGTCGTTCATAGACAACATTTTATGCTTCGTTTTCTTCTTGTGTTTATATACACATGTATTGAAATTAACCAGGATAAAATAAAATCATTCTTTAGATTTTATATAGTATGATTTGTTTTTGGGAAATTTATTACATAAAAAAGATTTTTTGTTTTTCGTTACATTTTTTAATAGGGATGTACAAATTCCTGATTTTTTTTTACACAAAAGATTGTGTATTTGTAGCACTGAGAATATTCAATTTCCGTCAAGTGTTCCGGTGAGACTTAGTTAGTCTTGATCATTCTGTTTTATGCTACTATCATACTTGATGAAATACGATTAAGAAATAGAAAACTCGCCCGTAATTGAAGGTTTTAAGTACTGCAAATGCTTTATTTTTACTGTGAAAAATTAAGAATTAGTGCATTGCTACTTATGATAAAAAAAAAAGACAGAATAACGAAATCCATCTGATATTGTGTTATATTCTATTTATTAGACTAATGAATTAGTTAATGATAAAACTAAACAATATTTATAATCTTCTATTAAATTCATTCTACCATCAACACAATTTTTTAAAGAAATCAGCTCATTCAAATATCAATCTTCTTTACGTATTTATCTTTACTTTTTGAATGATAATATGAAACATAATTCGTTACATAAGTTTGACAGATTTGATCTATATTCTATATGATACTATAATTAACAATAAATTCTTTTAGTACAAATATCTTGAATGAACAAAGCTTTTTTTCAAATTTCTGTATTTTTGAATAACTTATAAACATCCAACTATATCAAGGTAAGCTTTTCATTATGACATAGAAGATACTCATTGTAGAGATTATTATATTCCAAAGTCGGATTGATTCTACTTTGATGTATCTTGATCTTTTATCATCGATTACCACAGCATTGATTGAAGAAACACAAACTAAAATAAGAATGACACCTTCAACAAGTTCAGTTAGGAAGAGAAACAGATCAGCAGGAAGTAAAATGTCATTTTATACACTAAATAGGAAGCAGCCGCATCTTTCATTTCCTATCAATAAGGAAGACGTCCGATTTGCTGTACACATCAAGATCCAAATAAAAGTGTTTGTCATTGTTCTCATTGTAAAAGCACCTTCTGTATGAAATTTAAAAGAAATTTGTATTTTTATAATTATCACAAGAATATTTTGTAAAAAGATAAATCCTTTTTTGTTCCACATTTTTGTATTTATAATGATACATATTATATGTGTTTGTTCTTAGATTTACTTAGTTTCTCAAGATTTCGAAATAGTTTCGATGGAAATATCAATACTACATGATAAATAATCTTATATATGGAATTGTACAAAAATTTCTTTTACAGACGGACTTATGTTACTTCAACAGTTAATGGTTATTCATCAGATTTAAAACATGATATTGAAAATTGTCTATTAATGTATTAGTTCAATGTATCTATTCACAGCAATATCAACTTCCAATTTCATTTTCTTGAGATTGAATCAAAAGTAATATGTTGCCATTGTTATTACAGAAAAGATAAATCTTTAATTGTATATCAACAATAATAAATTAGATTTTTGGTTGTAACAGAAAATTATTAACAAACAAAATCTCTGTACAACATTATTTTTTCATCTATTTGACTTTCTTTATATTATTGTAGAAATAAACAGCACAACTCATTGTTTGATATTTATTTGTGACAATGTTTTTTTTATAAGCATCTGAGAAGTGGCACGGATAAGAACAACGATGGATAAAATTGGTTTTATTCCTCATTTACAATTATAAATACTATTCTAGTGTTTGAATGTTTCATTCATCGAATCTCACACTAAGCGATTCTGTAAGAAATGTTATCCAGAGGAAAAAAAAAAGATTTGATAAAATGCTTCACTCTAGTCCTCTTGAAAGTCAAAACATTAGAAAATGAATGTCTAGAAGAATAAAGTCAAATTAAATTCAGCAACATATTTTTATACAAAATAAAAAAATAGTTGCATTTGTCGGAGTATGAATTTTATGTTTTTCTTCTAATTCAAATTAAATCATTCTAAACGACTTTTACTTTTTATCTCCTTGATAGTCTTTTCAAAAAATATAACTCACAATAAGCTCATTAAATGAAAGCTTTCGTACCTATTGATTGGTTAGAACTCTTAGTAAAATGGAAATTGAAATCTGTCAAAGCATATTTTAATAATATTTCTTATTTTTTTTTTTACAATATAATAAAAAAAAATATAAATGATACTCTCTGCTTACGAATGTAGAATAGTTTCAAACTTGATATTTCCTTACAGCTAATAAACGTTAGAAATAGTCATTCATCTCTGTGTCAATGTTCTTACAAAGCATTTTATTAGATGAATGATCTTAGGTAATAATCAAGAACGAATACCTCCAAAGATCATAGTCGTCATCTACGATAATCTTCGAATTATTTCTATTTTATATTCTTGTTTTTTCTTTGGACTGAATGTAAGCTGTTCCTTTTTTTGTTGGATATAAAGAAATTATGATCACAGAGCTCTATGAATGAAATGAGAATATATATATATGTATGTCAATGATTTTCAAGGTATAGTGAATTATTTCGATTAAAATTCATTTTTTTCGAATAACTTTTACATTAAAACTGTTTATTATTATAAATACGCGCTTCTTTGTGCTTTTCTTCGATTTACCATTGCGATGATAGTTAATTTGACTGATATTAAATAACTAGTAAAGATTATCATGTTTGCTGGTGCTCAGATTGGTCATTATCTTTTTCTTTTTCTCTTTATTAATCATATTAATTATAATATTTAATATTTAGTCACAACGAAACTAGTCCCTCGTGGTCAACAAAAACCAATAATCGATGCTGAAAATGAAGATAAAACTACACAAGATTTAGTAAATATGACTATATTAGTACCACGATCAAAAGCAGCTATTGTTGTTGAAACTCGAGCAGAAAAAATTGAACGAAAAGTTCTTGCACAAGAACGAAAACATGAAAGAATTGTTGAACAACAAAAAATTGCTCATCATATGGAAAATTTAATGGAAAAAGTATTTTAATAGTTTTCTATTAAACAACATTATCTGTTCTAACGAAAAAAAAAAAAAAAGGTTCTTCATGAAACATCATTATCAAAAAAAGATGAAGATAACTTACGTAGTAAAATCAAAACTATTATGACTAAAGTAAATAAAGAATCAGACAAAATCGATGTCACATCTCTTCATCCATCTATTACTCAACGTCCATTATCATCATCATCATCTCAAACAAAATCAGATGTATGTATTTTCTATTGTTATAAAAAGAGTCATTCAAAAAAAATTTCGAAATTAATTTTATTTAAATACAACAATAAGCACTAATTGATTAGTATTGTTGTTTGTATGTAGTTTCTATTGTCCTCAATCTATAGACATCATAAATTCTGATCGATTTAACATTTATGTCTAGATACATCAATACATTTTACACTGATAGGAAATTTTAAAAGTTGAGCATCCTCCAATGATAAAATTTTTAACACTAGATTACCGATGTCCATCCAATATTCATGAATGTATGATGATAGTTTATGCTAATCGACACTTCATCACTCACTACAATTTCTGAATTACATGGCAGTTTTAAAGATGAATAATTAAATAATGACGAATGATTCTTGATGTAAATGACGTAAATATAAAAACAATTTCGAAGCTTTGTCATGATCAATTACATATGACTCAAATCTGTTCAAGATGAGTGTTACGTTTAATGATATCTGAAAAACTAAGCACAGCTAATATATGAATGCTTATTGATCCATTTTTAGAAGAACGAACCCGTTCAACAAGCATACTAGATGATACAATATTATCACTATAAGTTATCACCATACGTTCATAAATATTGAATAGGAATCCATTATTCAAAACAAAAATTTTTACTTCTCTATCAATGTACATGACATGATCTAAAACGTATTGCTACATCTAGACATAAGTGCTTAATCAATCATAGCTCATACCCTCTATAGATCGAAGATTGTAGGAATTGCACACAAACAATAAAACTAATTTAGCAACGGTTCTTGTTGTTTTTAAATAAAGTCAATTTCGGAACTTTTTTTCAAGGATCTTCATCCTTATTTATCATTCATATGTGATTATGTATATCTAGTCTATCGAACAATCATCTCAATCTAAATCATTGAAAACAGCAAGTCAACGGGCTTTTCTTTTATGGTACGATAAAAACAATCATTGATATTTTTTCTTTGATTATTATATTCGAAAAAAAAATCTATAAATAAATTAAATTATTTTATAATTTAAAATACAAGTCGATTGTTCGATTAATCTTAAAAAGATAATTTATAATGACTGAGTCATGTCACGTAATCAAATAGGTTTCATTTAGCGTAATCGAAGATCTATCAGTTATGCATGAATTATAATTGTAAATCCTTTTCTGTTTTCTTTTTCATCTACATTAACTATGTTATTGTTTTCCTTGATGAATTTCTTTTCTTTTTGATCAACCTTCTTATCCTGTTGCTTCTTTGAATGATAATTAACATAAAACATTATTATCTTTTGCTTGAATGGAATGCCGATCGTCAAGTGAAGTCCTACTATGAATATTATTAATGAAAATCACATTTAATACATGTAATTAATACGTCGAAGTTGAACTAGTATATAAGTAAAATTGTGCTTTATCATGATGATTAATTTATATAAATTCAGGATATTAAATTGTTCCTTTCTTTTGAATTCGATAAATACCACAATAGAATTTTATTTATCAAAAGAATAAATCTAATTTAAGTGATTCCTACGCAATAACAGATTCCCTTCGGAGGAACGATGCAACGGATATAAAAAAAAAGACAGTAGTCATTAAAAATTAATCTTTTTCAAAATTAGAAATCTATATTGACATCAGAAGGTACCTGGTTTTCAACGTTTTAAACTAAAAAGTTTTGTAAGATACAAGTCAACAATATTTCTGAAATTTGATAATCCTAAAAATATCTTCCCAAATTCTTGAAATCGTATTAGTTTAAAACAAATTTTTACTCAAATAATTAAGATACAAAAGAAAATTGTGAATGTTCTATTTCAGGTAGAAATTTAGGGCTTAGATTTTATTTTTAATTCATGTGCTCAACACAGATAATGAGTAGTCTGAGACAAGTGCGATTTTACTCAATGAGTGTTGATGAATGTAATTACAGTAAATACAAAAAGATTTTCTTTAAGATAATTTTATTAAACAAGTACGTTATGTTAATTGACTTTGATATTTAAAACAGAATCTCACGTATTGAATGAATATGTTTATTTTTATATTTTTACTTTATCTGTCCTTTAATTAATCGATTCTTTCGAAAAAAGAAACCAACTGAAATTACTTTAGTAGAATATATTAGTTTATATTTGTAATTAATATCCACATCTTATGAAATAGTATCTTTGTTTAGTATTTCTAACTATATTATTGTCAATAAACAATTATAGAAAAAATTTGCATAGTTTGATGTATGTACTCAATCAACTTGTCATCTAAAAAGATAATCATTGTGTTCTATACTGCACTAATCTCTACTAGCATAAAAATAGTAACAAAACTTAATCGGGATTATTCGATAGTTACTCATCTATAGATTATATATTGTATAAAAGAAAACAACAGATGTGATCAAGGATATAATTATCGCTTGATTTACGTCTTGTTGAAAAATAAAACTCAATGTTAATATAATTCATATTTATTTTTGCTAATGTTTCTAACCTCGATATCATACTTAATGCATATTTTATATCTATCGATGATACTATTTGAACTTTAATGACGAAAAATACAATGAAACTAAAAATAATTTTTCTAAGATATATGATTTTATTCTTAAATTTTTATTAAATATAGCCTTAAATACGGAATATGGTAGTATTTTCCAAGGCATATTCATGTTTAAATAGAAAAATTATGTGTAATTCTTTTTTCTTATGATTAACTTTGATGAATGATGCATTACAAAAAGAAAATGTTAGAAATATGAACTGAATAAACTTAAGACCAAGAAAAGTTGACTGTGTTTTAATGAATATTATATAAAATTAATTTTTTTATTGTCTTTAAACCCCGAGGAAGTTTATTGATATTTCCCATAAGCAATAATTTCTTTCTGTTATTACATTTCATCGTACATATAACGAGAAAATACAAAAGAAATAAATGAAAGAAAAAGTTATATTTATTTTTTTTGTTTTCTATAAAGTACAAATTTGAGCTAAATGATTTTCTCTTCATATTAATTGTTGTTGTTAGTATTTGCATTATCATATATCAGTTCAATTAGTATTCAACAAGTTTATAGATTATATATTGATATACTAAAATAAAATAAAGATCATTTCGTCTCAAAAACATTGAAGAAGATCCAATTCTAAATAATTTCATCTATCATTATCAACTGCGTTCATTTTCAGAACCCATCATAGATTTTATCTTTGTTATTTGTTTATCTATTAGCATTCAGCTACTTTTCATCATCACATACTCATGTTCTATCTATTGAATAGTTACTATTATTAGAAACATTTTATTTATTATCAATAAAAGAATACAGTTATACATATTGTAAATATACGTTTTGTTGAACATACACACATGTAAATTTTTTTCTGTGTATCGTTTGTTTTTCCAGATTTATTCATTCTACAAGGTGATTATATTATTAACCATAGCACATATCGTATACTATCTCTATATATAATATGTTAATAAATAAACGAATTGTAGTAATAAAAACAAATAGGAAATTAATATCAAGTGATGTTTACTATATTCAATAAGAATAACATCGTTTTATACTAATATAAAATGATGAATTATTGTAAAATTCTACTTCATTTTTCTGCTTATTAACGTCTTTTGTGGATTTCTTTTTTACATTGTGAAAAAGAAACTTTAAACGAATGATCATTTATTTCTTCTACTATTATGAAGTGAATTTTATATATTGTTTATAAAATAGTCGATCATTTTTCTCTATGTATGACTACCATTGAAAAACTAGTGTTAGAATGATATTTGATTTATTTGCTGTCAATTTAGTTTCCTCAATCAATATAAAACAAGATTGACATAAAAAACAAGTCAAGTTGTCACTTGAATATTTCATTTCATTGTAAAAATATCATGAAAATATCTCCATACTATATTTGCTACCTGTAGATGTATTGTCTTATGAATTTATTTTGATACTAATAGTTCAACTGACAAGTTAAGTATGAATATTAATATAAGATTGAAATATCAAGATATTCGTGACTATAAATCATTATTTTATGATTACGACTTTTTTTGTTTTTATTCTATTAGTAAATTAAAAAAATATGATCAATACAAATGATGACAAGAATGGATTTGTCTATGATGACTTTTTCTGAAGTTCATTTTTTGATTTGTGTTCTTCACATGGTATATATATATAGTTTATTGTACTATATTTTGTTTTTCTCACAAAATAAATTTACGTATATTGATGAACTAGATAGTATAATAACATTCTATACGAATACATAGATTCTTTGATCGATAATCAAAATTCATTACATGTTCTATCAAATGAATGACTAAAAAAGAAACAATTGTCAGCTATATTAAAGAATGTCCAAATGAAGGACTATCATTATTATCATCTGGGATTAAATGCACGAAACGAAAGACACTCAAATGATTGATTAAAAGAAAAAGTCTATCGTTCAAATGAGACCTCTATTTTCTTCTATTCACATTCAAGCAATACAAAAAAGAAAGAATAAACTTATGCAAGTATCTTATCATTAATATCAGTAATAATAAGTATTATTAGTATTTGTGAGTAGACCTTGTTGTACTTTAATGTAATTCTTTTTCTATTATATTAAGATTAATAAAAAAAATACTCGTTTTCTACTCAAACAATAAAAATGACGAATGCAAAAAGCAAGAAAGGAAATTTTCCTATACTCAAATGATATCATATCTATTGAAGTAATAGAAATAATTTATAATCAATTAATAGAATATTAACATTAAATTCTAGAGATTTTCTGCTTGTTGATACTAAGTAAATAGCTCATTTTTGTGTTTGTATGTCAATGCAAATGGAAAGAAACTATTATTTTTTTATAACAAGTCGACAACTATGAACACTACAAAACTCTCGATTTATCATTTCTCTTTGTCAAATTTTGATATTACTACTCATTTATATTCTTTATTCCTTCCCTACGATGGTTTCAATGAT